TCGCATAAGTAGCGACTTATTTTCAATCTGTCTCGATCCTTGCCAACCAATTTCCAATACTACTAATTGTACAATAAATGCTTTGTGTATTTTTGAAACAAGCAATCGTAAATTTAATATTATATAATATTTGCTACATCCCAACATTCGTCGTATATTTCCATCAATGATTATGTTGTTTATTTTTATTTTCATTTTTATTTAAATGTAGACACATGTAGATAGATATATATCTTCTTTCGATGATTTTATAAAGAATATATATTTATCTGTACATCTATATTACTAATCGTAAATTCTATAAATCTTCAATTACTTTATTTTACATATTAACACATATTAAAGAGATCAAACTCAATACGATGCAACATAATATAAATAATAAATAAAACAAAACAAAATATATATATATATATATGCATATTATGTTTTATTATTTTGTTTTGTTTTATTTATTATGTATATATTATTTATATTACTTATAATATTATTATATTATTTATTTATTATATATATAATATGTAATATAAATAATAAATTGAAATCAAAATATCATATTAGTCATAATATTAACGACCTTACATCGATTTCTCTAAAAAAAAAAAAGTTTAGAAATTGATTTTATATTCCGGACGCGAATATCTATGTAACAGTAAATGAAAATTTTTGTAATCCAGATCAACTGGAAGGAAGATCGTGCCATTTGCAATTATTAGAATGTCGTTGGCACACGTATACGGAGCAACAAAGTACAATAAGTGGGTCATGAGTCATCCATTTGACCCGCATTTGTTTGGCTTGTTTGAACGCTATACAATTTGTGATATTCAGGCTTTATTTAGTCCAATGTCGAATGGTGGGCGATTCTGGATACCCACCATGGACATATTCTTATATGGTTGCGTGTGAGTCGTTTCTTTCGTGGACCCTGTCTCTCGAGGTCGTGTCCATTGCACAATTCCAAAGGCATATCCCCTTGGTTATCTCACAGCGAAAAAAGTATGACTCTTCACAATGACTTTTTATCTAACGTTACTATGTTAATTGCTTTTCCTAAAAGAGATATCAATGATTTTTAATTCTATAAATTCTTAAAGGTTCTTTGTATCTTTCACT